GAACTCTTGGCTTCCCTGGTGAGACTTCTGCCCCGGTGACCAAATCCCGGATAAGCAGTAGAAAATGAATGGATGTGTCCACCAGATTCTCCCTTGTCTTAATGATAGAGCACTGATACTGAGAAGTCTCTTAACATACATAGTTCCTTTCTTCTTCTTTTTTACCGGCTTTCCTGGTTTTGTTTTCCTTTGTAAAATTTACTCACTCCGTTGACAGTAGACTTATCAATGTTTCTAATTGGTCAGATGCTGTCAGTGCTGCCCTTAGATAATGGAAAGATAACTGGGCATGTAGAGCTTCACTGTTACAGGGTTCAGGACTGCGTTTTAGTCTAGATGGGCAGAGACTTTTGGAAAAAAGGATGCAGACACACATTCACTCCATGATCTCAAAAAGTCTTCCCGTCCAGAATAAAACCCGAGTTCCAGAGTTTTCAAGCTGAAACTGGGCCAGTAGTGTTTCCAAAATTCCCAATTGTAGGAATATTAAAACACTGAATGTATGCTTAGATGACTAACCAGTCTCCTCCTCGTCGCTCACCATTGAATTGTGCTCTGATTTCACTAAGGTTTCAAAAATAAGCGATCCAGGTGACGAACAAATGACCGAGGCTTCAAACCTTTCTGACGGCGATGCTGATGATGCTAACGACAGTGCCCACGTACTTCAAACTGAAATGGGACCGCAGCCACTTTCAGTCATGAAAGCAAGGTGATTAGTGCTAAGACGTTTAAAATTTAATTGCAAAAGAAATACGCGCTGGTAAGATGTGCATATTTAATCCACCACATCTGACAAAGTTTTTTTCTTCTTCTTTGTACAGACAGTTTCTCTCTTGGTATACATTATCTCAAAATGCCAGCATGTCAGCTGAGGACACGAACCTTCCTTTATACCCTCTGTGGGTGCGATGCGACATGTCTGATCCTGCTGGAACGACCTGGTTTGGGGCTGAAACAGTCTGTGTGGGCACTAAAGTTACTGGTGTCAAACTGTATTCCATCACCTCCAAAGGTATTGCTTAGAAACATCACTCCTCTTTGAATAACCCATTTTTAAACATTATCAGTGCATTTTCTGATGATTTGTATGTATTTGTGTCACTTGTTTTTATTTTCCTGATGTTAATGTTTTTAGGTTCAACTGCAGACAAACAATCCCTCACAACCTTAGAAGAACTGAAGCAAGAGCATAAGAAACGGCATCATCCATCCTCGGTATTTCAGTTTTCATCCTCTTTTGCAAGTCTGTCTGTGTGAACGAATGCCCGTGTTCTTACACTGATAAATACTTCTAGGTGGGGATTAAAGGCAGTGCCAGGTTCAGCCTGTTTGGTTCCACTGTTGTTGAAAACACCACCATTGAGTCTCAGAGCAGCGTGACTGTGGATTTCAAATGGAGCCATGTGGAGAGTATTCTTGAGACCCCACCCCTGTCCTCTACAGCAACATTAGTGAGCAGCAATAATGACCTCTTATAATAATCCCTTCTTTCCCTTAAAAAGCTTACTTTTTATATTTCTATTTAATTAATATGCTATTATGAATAGAAAAGGGAAACATGTATCTGGAAGTAGTACCAGCAGATGAAGCTGAACAGACACAGACTGATTTTTTAATGTGTTTATCTTTTTTTATGCAGAATATCAAAATTGCCAGTGGAGACATGAGAAGTCCCATGTTTGAGATGTATAGGGAGCTGGAGTTTCTACTGGTTTGTCTTCCACTGTAATCTAAAATGACAGCAACTACCAGCATCCACATAAATAACTAAATATATCTGAATCCTGTTATTTCAGACTCTCGCTGATGGTTTGAGAACTGGTGAGACTGAATGGATGGAACCGCTGGAAAGCACATCGCCTGTAAATCTGACCAAGGCTTACCTAGAAGGCACGAAGCACTGCTGAATCAATACATTGTAAATCTGATGTAATGCTACCTGGTACTTATGATTATTTTTTCATTTTTAATTCTTCTTTCAGAGCTACAGAACACTGCAAAAACACTGCAGGATCAGGCTGCAAGAACGCCCGAGGTAGGATGGAGCCATTATCACTAAAACATTAATTTTACAATATATCTGCTAGAGTCTTGGGTTTTTTTCCTTTCCATCTTTTTCAGAAGACCTCGAAGCTGAAGTCTGAGACAGAAACTCCCATTTTCAACTCGTTCCTGGAAAGAGGAGATTTGGATTTTGTGGAGCAGCTTTGGGTTCGGATGAGAAAAAGTGAGTTAGGCCTTCCATTCAGGAAACTGGGATGGATTTTAGCATTTTACAAACAGACAGAAAAAAACTTTGTATTGCAGGTGTGACTTCATATCAGGACATTGGAGACTGCCTGAAGTTGGTCATTGACGCTCTAAGATATGGTGACATCAAACCCTGGGTAACAACATAAAACATTTCCGCTTTTGAAAACTTGGAGTTAGATGAGTTTGGATGTTGCAGTTGTTATTTTATTAATTCATTGATTAATTTTTTTTTTGTTTTTTGTTTCACATCATCCAGATTCACAGAGACAGCAGCAGTTCCCTCAGCAAGCTCATTCTGCAGTCGTACCACCAGCAGATCGAACATGTGTCTCTTACAGGCTTCACGCCTGTCAACATGCTGCTGGAGATGGGTCTGGATAAGATGAGAAAAGACTATATTAACTACCTGATTGGTAACCTTTAATTATTCATTTGGAGCTCTTTCTTTGACTCTGTGTTTGTGTTATGCTCTCTGGATGATAGGCCATTTGCAATTTGTGTTTGTTTCTTAGGTGAAGAACTGACGACTTTAAACCACTTGGTAAGCTTTACACTGTTTCTCAGTTCTTTTCAAGTGTCTGTCAGCATAGTACTGACTCTGAGTAATTTCCTCCACAGTGTTTTTACCTCAGCACGGAGGTTGATCTGCAGGAACAAGTGATCCGACTCAGGAAACTGCACCATCTGCTGGAAATAATTGTGACCTGCAGCACATTCCTTGGTTTGCCCTACGATCGTCTCTTTCTTCTCACGCAGTAAATCTTTTGACTTTTTTTCTGCCCCAGTGATATGTGACTGTGCAGAAGTATTTCTTCTTTTAAACTGGTATTTAAATAAACAATTCCCTCTCCTGTTTCCCCCCCTTTCCTGTCACATAGATTGTGTTTGCAGCACTACAGAACGTCACCTTATGATGAAGAGCACGAGTTCAAACTCCAAATCAAACCTGCCCTGATCAGTCATTTCTACCAAAAGTAAGGAATGCAAGCCTTTTTTACTGCCTGCTTTATTGTGAAACTGGGATATTTGACCTTATTGTTTGTGAATATGACATTTTTATAGTGGACATAATCATATTGATAATGAAAATATGCAACAATTATTTATTGTAGATTTCAGTTCTTTAATCCGTCTTTGTTGTTGGGGTTTTTAATCATCTAATAGTATATAATGCTAGCAGACTGCAAAGTGCAATCAATCTTTTGGCAACTCAGTGATGACACTAAACATGCTTCGGTTATATTATCGATCTAAATCTCTCACCTCAAGCTAAGGTGCAAACATGACAGATTTAAAGGAGCTGTCACAAATGCCAAGAGAGCCAATTATTCCTTTGTGCCAAAAGACAACGGTTCAACTGAAGATTTCCAAGACACTTCAAATTGAACGAGACACTGTTGGGATGTTAGTTCAAAAGTCAATGTATTATTGCAAACCTTTACATGCAGGAAGGACCTGACGAAGGCGGGGGAAAAACACTTAACAAGCAAAAATGTCAGGCCTGTAAACCTCACCACAGTCCAATCTCGACTGAACGGCACATAAAAGTCGACCTGAATGTGACGCCCGCAGAATTCTGGCAGTCTATTATGTGGAGTGTTGAAAACAGAGATCTCAACGGCTTGCGAGAAACCACATAAAACATTTATTGAAAGTCAAAGGATATATTGGTGGATGTTAGGCTTTTTTTCTTTCTTTTTTTTTTACACAGAATTTAGTTTTTCTGTGTTCATCTTTGTGCTCTACAGGGAGCACCCAATACTGTGGGGGGTTGAGGTGTCCAGTGGTCATGGTCCTCGTGAGGTCAGGACCTCCTTACATCTTAGTGACAGACCACTGGTTGATCATGTCATCTTTGAAACAGGTGATTTTTATTTACTGAATATATAAGTGACTACCCCAGTAAAGTATCGATAACAATATTCTTCTTTAACTATTCTTTTGTTTTTAGACTATCCAAATGAAACCGTGAATGGGGACAGTGAGGATCCTGCTTTCTTCTCCACTATGGCATACTGCAGCCTTGTCAACTTTGCATGAATTTATAAAACATGCTACTAACCCCTCAACAGCAAATTTCAGTCCTTTGTGTGTGTGTGTGTGTGTGTGTGTGTATATGTTTTTTCCAGTCACATCTTTATTTTCACATTTTGCTGCTCAAGGAAAGACAGGAAATATTCTGCCAAACAACTTAGCTGTATCCAAATGAAAGTAGATCAGTAGATCACCTGGCGTCTTTGCAATACCAGTATCCTATAGTAGCAGTTTAATCAGAAACTCTGACTCCTTTTTCCTTCTACGCAAAACCAGTCATTTTAGAGCAAAACGCTTTACACACATCAAATCGATAAAAATCACCAGTTCTTTCAGTTCAGCTCAAATGATGTATTTATATTCACACGTTATCCAATAAAGAAGTGATGCACTTACATTTTAAATGTGTGCATATGTGTGTGTGCCGATGCTTGTGATGTATAAACACGAAAGCCTTCCTAGTTACGCCTCCGCAGCAGGAACATGAGGAAGATGGCACTGAGCAAAATGGAGAGTGTGCACACAGTGGGAACAACGATCTCGGTCACCATCTCCATGTGGCTGGTCAAAGGGTCTGCAAAGCACATACACACACACACACTCATTAAAAACTTATGGGCATCGTTATATCGTCCAAACACTGCCAGTGAAGCGAAAGCTCAAGCACAGCACTCAAAGGGTTAATATTTGTCCCGGAATCACAATTTTGGTCTAATTCATAGAGAGCATAGGGATTCCTTACCATGTATAAGTCTTAGAATATTGGCAGCAGTACTCCGCTGTTCCTCTAATAAAAGAAGAGAAAGTACTCAGAGTTGATTAATGGCACTTTAACCCTTTGAGAACTGCATGCAGCTACAGGGGAATATTTCAGAAAGCAGTGTTTTTACCAGATGACTATTAAAAGCAGTATTCTGAAAATGACTTAATATTACAAGCCATCAGCAAGCAGGTGAGGCTTATGTTTGAAATTTTGATTTCAGCTCAGATATATCACTGACTTTATTGGTGCTATTACATTACCCAGTTACAGTTTTAATCTCTGCTTTGTGGGCTGAAGTGCACCGCTTTGCTTTATGCCTGTTTGCGAGTTTTTGTTAAAAAAGCTCTTTTAAAAGGAGCAAAAGCTTGTGTTTAATTGCAGGTGTTAAACGCAGGAGCTTGTTAGTCAGAATTGTAAACACACAATTGCAAAGCGACAAAAGAGAAAAAAAGAAATCAGATTGTTAGAAATAGGAAGCATGTACCCTCAAGTTCTAAACTTCATCATGCACAGGCCAAACCTTTGGCATTTCTGCATGTTCCTGGGATTTTCTTCTAGCTGGAGGGGCAAACAAAGAAGATATCTCAGATCGCCTGTAACAGATTCTACTAATCAATTTTTAAATTTCAACTATTCTTCTTAACACTATTTGTCCGTGCATGTTCTGAGATGGCTGAAGAAAAGAAACAGATTTATTATTTTCATTGTTATAGTGTTCAAAATTTTAGGACATTTTTTTGTTTGTTTGTTTGCTGTTTTTTCCATATTTTGGCAAGAATCTTTATTTGTTTACCCCTGCTAGTTGTTCAACCCTATATAGTGAGGAACATGGTCAATGATGTTACAGACGAACTGACCTGCAGCTAGAAGCTGATTGCTGGAAGAGCACGTCTCAACTGCCTTTCGCCTCCAGTTTTCAACCTGTGGAGGTTCACAAGACAGTCAAATATAATCAGAATAAACCATGTAATGAAAAACCCCTCAGACTGGCAGGGCTTTGTAGTCCTTTCTGCTCACCTCTCTTTGATTGGGAAATCCATTGAAGCTGATAATGCGTTTGTAAAACTGAACAGAAGCTTTGGGATAGCGAGGCTTGTTTTTGTTCCTGAAGTCCACATAGTACAAGCCAAATCTCTCAGAGAAACCTTCATCCCACTCAAATTTGTCCAGCAGCGACCATGCAGTGTAGCCCTTCACATTGACTCCGTCTTTGATAGCTGGGTGACAAAGAGATCAAAGAGCTTGATAACTACAAAAAAGTAATTTCAATTTAAGACAGTGGGCACATTTTTGCATTTTTTGTTCAATACATGTGAGCTCATTCACCTTTAAGCATCTCATTGATGTAGTCTTTGTAGTACACTATCCTCCATTCATCACAAAGCTCTGTGCATAACATCTTCTCAGAGACTCCATTTGCAGTCACATAAATCATTGGGTTCCCATACTGAGTCTAGATGAGGATGAAATCAATATGAGTTTGTTTTTTTTAAGTAAAGAGTATGTAGCACAAATATCAATGAGTAACCTTGACAAAATTGAGCAGACGCCTAAAACCCCAGGGCACGGCATAGAGCCACTCTGAACCAGGGTCAGGCCATCTTGGGTCAACCAGCTCAGCCAGGTCACGGTCACTAAAGTAGTTGCTGCTGCTACGGCCCGATGGGTTGTTTTTTTGGGTGATGTAGCGGGTGGTGAAATGACCAATGCCAAGGAAGTCACAGGTCCCCTTTATGTAGCTCTTCTCTTGAGGGGAAAATGTGGGCAGTCGAGACGTCCCGAGGCCCTGCTGGACACTCTTTCTCCCTGCACATTGCCACAAATAGCAATTATTTAATTCCTGTTATATAAATAACACTAATTTAGGAGCATTTACAGTTTAACATACCTATGAAGTCTTTCATCACTTGAGGGTAGTCGCCATGAAAGATCGGTGTGGCAAACCATCCCAGGTGGAACTGGACATATCTCTCAGCTGCTTCAATGTCTTTCTGGTTGCTGATATCCACCGGTTCTCCCCATTCCCCCGACAGAGAGATGCCAACCAGACCTACGGATTTAAACAGGAGCTCTCAGCAATTAGAAAATGTAATCTTTTTAGTGGTAAACGCTGACTTTCATTTTCTTTACCTTTTTGCTTCCCCCTCCACTGTGTGTCATACGTGTGCCAAACTTTAGCATGTGCCTATGAAAAAAGTATTTTTTCACATTTCACTTTAAAGTCTTTATTAATTACTGTGTAGTTTTTATACTGTAATTGAATAAAAGTGACGTCTTATACCTTAATGATATGATGTGCAGCTCTGTATGCTCCCGTTCCCCTCAGCCTCAGTCCAGGAGCATGTTCCCCCGTCTCATAACCTTCAACAGCTACAGACTGGTACATGTGCATAAATGTGCATAAATACAATACTTTTAATGCTGACGGGAGTTAAACTTGTGCATGTATTTGTTGTATAAATATTTCTTGTAAATGTACCCATGGATTGTTGAAAGTGATCCAGTACTTGACTCGGTCGCCAAATCTCTCAAAGCACAGGTTAGCAAATTCATTGAAATAATTGACCATGCTTATATTTTGCCATCCACCATATTTCTCTTGCAAGACCTATAAAAACAAACAAAAAAAAGAAACATATTGTTTAAAAAGTTATTAAGAACAAAGTTGAGGGTTCTCTGTATTTTGCTTACAAACCTGTGGAAGATCCCAGTGATACAAAGTAACAATCGGAGTGATTTTGTTCTCCAGTAGGTGGTTGATCAGGTGATCGTAGTACTGTATTCCCTTTTCATTTACATGGTCAGCTGGAAAGAGTGTTTTAGCATGGATTACTTTTAAATAAAACCACATTCTGCCAGTTTATTTCATCAAAAGGCTTAACATCAGTTACCCACATTTTATGCCAGTGGGAAGGAGTCGAGGCCATGAGATAGAGAAACGATAGTGGTTAAGCCTCAGCTCCTTCATCAGAGAAATATCATCCTGCACAAAAGGCATACACTGGATTACTTGGTGTCCTAACTACAAACCTTCCTCTCCTTACACCTCAGACACACCACACCTGATTGCCCTACCTTGACTTTGTAGTAGCCCTCACAGGAGAAATCCCCAGTGTCATTTTGTTGGATCTTGCCTTTCCTATGACTGAACACGTCCCAGATGCTCAGTCCTTTTCCATCTTTGTCCCAGGCTCCTTCTGTTTGATAGGCTGAACCTCCGGCACCCCACGAAAATCCTGAAAAACAAAACGTTAGCAGATCTGGGTTACACGATCACAGTTTAGGAGGACTAATGGCACTAAATACAAAAAGAATAAAATGTAACCCCACTGAACAAAACGAACTGTGTGTACCAGCTGGAAAAGTGCCATAATAGAAGGAGCCGTGGTGGTTCTTTGTCCAGTCGAAGTCCTCAGCCGCAGACACACACAGCACCAACATAAGCACATGGCACACACCGACTGCACAGCGGGGCAGCATGGTACTTTTGAGCCTGCAGCACAGTTCGTGTCTCACTCTGCTTCAGTCGCTCACTACCACCTAAATACAGATGAGAAGCATTCAGCACCAACGCTTAATGACAAAAAGAAGCGTGGTCTGGAGTAAACATGTCATATTCAAGCCAAAATGCACACATGCTTGCAAACCTTTCAAATAAAACCTGTGTAAAATTGGTATAATAACAATAAACTATCACCAAGTCGTCTGGAAGCATCCAATGTGCTGGACTGTGGGGGGTCCCACGTCCATAATGCAAAGCCAAATGGAGCTTTTCAGACTCAATGGTCTGTGAGCTCATCTTGCTGAGGCAGACAGATCCCATTCAAACTACGGTTTCACCTCTGTAAGCAAAGCTAATGTTGGAGAGGTTGATATATTTACAGTGCACAATCACACAACAATGGATGAACTTTTCCTCACAAACAGGCAAATGTAAGAGGACCTTACAATTGCTGCTATTTCTTTTGTTTGCAAATTTAACTTAAAAGTAAACCCAGTTATCTTTGCAAATAATTTCCAGGTGTTCAGGAGCATCATTGCAAAACAGAAGATACTGCACTGTAAGCATGAAAAATTGAAAACAGAAATATGGCAAAGCATAAATACAGCCTGAAAATGTAATGTGCCTGCATACTAATTCTACACACTTCTGCCTATGTTCACATCTCTGCTGCCCCCCCCCCCACTTTTGTTGAAAAAAATATTATCCTTGCAGTATTTTTCCCCATTTGTTACCTGTTAACCTTACGAACAAGGCATTTGCAGGTCTGCGCAGTGACTTTGGGGTGAATGGCAGCTCTCTCCTGGACTAGCAGACCCTGTAGACAGCTGTTATTTGTGCAATCTCTATTATACATTCCCTGTTGTAGCACCACCCTTCTCCAGAGCTGTCCCTGCTTTCAGGATGAAAGCTGGCCTTATTGTGAGGCTCGCTGTATTGTTTTAACTGTTTAGAAAATGCTGAATGGTTTTCTCGTGGAAAGTGTTTGCACTGCACTACCCATTTGCCCGGGTCAGGTTAGGACACGAAGTGAACACAGATATTATCTTGAAGTGTACACTGTAAAAAAACAGGCTGGTGAAAATGTATGCAAAACATTTATTTTGTGCTTACATAATACAGACATACTATCTCCTTATATGGCCCAGCCATACATTTTCATCAACAGACACATCTCAACATCAGACCTTCTAATTCTCAAAGTGGGTTGATGCTTTCATTCTCCGAAAATACACAATATGTTTAGAAAGCCATGAGTTTCTCATAACACTGCCTCAAAGCATTTCAGCAGCAGATTTCCCACAAAGTTTGACATATGACTAACATGGTGTGAAATCCTGGTGACGTGCCTTAAATCCAGCAAAGGAGGAAATATTGCTAGCACCGGACATTGTTACACTGCTACTTACTCCACCCAAATAAATAAAACGTCTTCAGTGATAATACAAAACAGGTGAACAAATAACAGGCATCTGTTCATGTTCTTCTTCAGTGGTGTAAATACTAACACTGATGGATCTCAGTAATCTTCTTCCTCCTCATCCTCTTCAGGCAAAAATCCGAGTTCGTTGTCATCCTCATCCCCCTCCTCATCTTCCTCCTCATCCTCCTCCTCCTCTTCTTCTTCTTCCATATCATAATCTGCCGCAGCATTCAAGAGGAGTTTGGTTCGATTAATCTCACTTTCATCATCCAGATTAACCTCAACCTGAAACATTCAACAACAAAAAAGAAAAGAATTGATGTTGAAAGGTGAAAACTTTACAACCAGTTGTCATAACCAGACACAGACATCATACAACACTTTTGTGCAAAAGTGTGGGGGTGGGGGAAAAATAAGCAAAGAAGAGATTGGGTCAGTGTGAGTCTGTCTGGCTGATGGTGCAATCTCTTGAGACAATATCATCAATTGCTCACTTTAACCATGAAATCAATCATAATCACGTGCAGAAGCAACAAGTTTATGTTTCAGGGAATCCCACTCTGCAGCCTCTGAATTACTGAATTAAAACAAAAAGGACAAATTTCCCAAGACACATATAGTACCTCTCTAAATATAAACTACTGATAAAAAAGTTAGATGCACTCTGACTAAATGACTGTGCTCCCCTTAAGCAAATTACTGCTAGAGAAACACAGTTATTTGGTCTTGTATATGAATGCAAATGACCGATTGTAATAGTCTCCAGTGTTGTGTCCTTTCCTGGTGCAGAGATCTACCTCAGGTTCGGGCGATAAGCGTTGAGAGGTTCCTTCTTCTGTTTGAGCATTAATAATAGACTTCAGGGCCCCCTCTTCAAACTGAAATGCAGAAGAAGCACACAGGACATAAACTACAGGTATGTACACAAATTCCAGCATGCTTGTATTTTGCAGCTTGCACTGACCTTTAACCTGTTCAGTTGGTCCTGTAGCATGACTTTGATTTTTAGAAGAGTCTCCTCTTCCTTCTTTAACTCCTGCAGACGGCTAAGCATATTTGCTGCTGCAGTCAGACCATTCCTCAATACTGAGAGAGAAACCAGACAGCACAAGGATGCTTTACAAAGCTTTTTTTATTTGATTATTCGCTCTCCGGTACCTTGAGTTTACTGTACTAATTCTATTGCCAACACGTTTGGCCTTTTCTGTCTCATCTTTTAACATTTAATACCACTATATTCAATACACTTAACAACTCAGCAGGTAGTATTAGCTGGTCAAAATATCAATTTTATAGTAGACTACAACAATGCATTAATCGCAGCCAGTTATTAACAGATCGGTATTTAATGTCCGCAACAACACACTGTTTCTGGAAATTTTGTAACATGATTTTGTTATTCCTAGCTAGCCGCTACAAAGAGCACTTTGGAGGCAAAGCGTGTATCCCACATAATAAACAGTTTATGTCCCCAGGTGAGTAACAAAAACAATTTTAAGACAATTACCTCCGTTTATAAATTCAGCCTACAACTCCATACCAACGCCAAAATTGTTGAAACACAGGATAAAGTGCCTCCTGAAGCTTCTTATTTAGGATAGGAAAAGCAGCAGAGATGTTGTGCTACAGCTACGGCTACCGCTACTAGCCAAACTTTGGTTCCTGTGCTGTCATGTCCGGGTTTAATGTGCCTTCACGTCCTGTCGGACAAAACAGTTGTTAAATAAGACTGTCACGGCTTTACTAGATGCAGCAATACCCATCTGTAATTTCACGCTTTTCTTGTTTTTGATAATTAACTAGATTCAGTTTGATGTTGTTATTTTTGATACTCTATTTGTATTTCTTCCTCTTAAAAGCCAGTAATACAATTTCACATAGGCATTGAAAGGCAGCATTAGCGAAGTGTTGCACATGGTGACATCTTGCGGTAAAGTGGCAGCAACTGCAGCCTTGTCCTTTTTGCTTCCAGAAACCCCAGTGACCAATCTGCTTAGAAGCAAATGAAGGTTTAAGACGGTAAGAAAACCTAGCTGTTTTTGTAACAGCGACTGTATAAACTCCTGTTAACAAACCGCAGCAGTGGTTACAGCACCTGGTTATCAGCTGACTTAGTTAATTAAACAGTATCAATGAAATTCTTTGGTACACCAGTTGAAGTGGTCGGTGTCAACTTTACAGCGCCAGGAAGCCTAATATGTAACAAATGTAGCCCACGGTGTTAGTTCCCCTTATAAAACACAAAGGTCATGCTAGTGGGAGACAAACAAGCCTTTAACGGGACGAAGTGAGGCCTATTGCTGCTTGCTGTAAATTTGTCTGTAATGTCACCTTAAGTAAGGTGAGTGACGTTTTAATAACAAAGAGTTTGCTAACATGCTGTAAGAAATTTTGCATGAAGCCAGAAGCTGGGCACTTAAAATCTCTGCTATGCCACAGAGTACATAGGATCACCATGTATGCTGAGGTTGACAGAGACGGAGCACTGCCACAAAGAAAATATTCAGCGATGCAGCACATTATCTGCAAACAAACAAACAAACAAACAAACAAACAAACAAACAAACAAAACAAACTCCAGTACACTGAAAGGGAACAAGAAAAGTAGATGACGAATTCAGTGAAAACACAATAAATTGCAGATGGAGCTCACTGATGTGAACAAGATCTGAAACGGCTCTTAATCAGTCTTCAGAAATGTTTGAAGAGCCCATTAGGGTCTTTATAGGATTTCTTTCTAAGTCCATCCAGATGTGTGTGTTGATAATCACAGCACAGGCACCAATATGGAGCTCAGCCAAAAGCAGAAGACATACAGTACCTCTCTGTTCACACACGTCAAAACAGGAAAATTAAGAATTTCCTAATTATCCTTCATATATTAAAACTTGGCTAGTTTTTGCCATTAGTTCAACAGTTTTTTCTTCTTAGCAACATAGAGATCAGGAATCAGGGTTATAGCTGGATAACATCACCATGGTAAGAAAGGATGGGTGAACTCACTGTGTAGTCACACACAATATATATAATATACACAGAGTGACACATTAAAGGAAAAACCTGAACCATCGACTCCTACGGTGAGAGGGTCATTTGGCTCTGGAAGCTTCTCTCTAGCAATATATACCCAATTGCCACTTTATTAGGTACACCTTGCAAGTACCAGAATGGACTTCCTTTTGCCTGAAGAACCAGCTTAAATCTTTGTGGCTTAGATATAACAAGGTGCTGGAAACATTTCAGTACATTGTTACACCTTGTTGTTTTCATGTTAATATGCACCAAAATGCTGCAGCGTTATCGTATGCACATCCATGATGTGCTCTATTGGACTGAGATAGTGAGTTTGGAGACCATTTGAATACAGTGAACTTCCTGTCTTGTTGGTCATAAAGCGATAGATGTAGTCAGCAACAACAAATAATCCCCACACTTGCTTGCCACACGTGCTTTTATGTTCTTTGCGTCAAATTGTGATTATGGTTCAACATGTTCATATGGAGATGCTCTTTTCCATAACTTAGATGAGTTAGTCTTGCCTTCCTATTAGCTACAAGCAGTCTTCCCCATTCTGATGCTTGATTTGTAGTTAAGCAGGTTGTTTTGACCATGTCTACAAGCCTAAAGTTGCAGCCATTGGCTGAATAGATATTTATATTAACAAGCAGTTGAACAGGTGTGTCTAACAAAGTGACTGACGAGTACAGATCTGTACTGTGCTTTTCTAAAAACATAAACAAGATCTGTGGAATTATTTTACCATTGCAACTAAAATGCAATGATTGCATCCTGCAGCTTCATTGCATTCAAAATTTCCAAAAGTAAAATAAAACACACTAATATCTCATCTCTTTTTCTTTTTTTCTTTTTTTTTAAAGAAATGGATGAAAAACACTATATAACCAGAATCTTCAAAGACATGAAAGCTCTCAGGTCTTTGCACTGAAATAAGTTAAAAGGTTCTGTTTCATTAATCTTGTGTTGGCCAGCTAACGGATTAATTGACAGTACTGTACATGTGCTGTGTTTGTATGAGGCCATGTACAAGAACATTATTGTTTTATGAGCCAAGCACATGGGAAGCTTTGGGAGGCAGAAATTGGAGCTCCATGTCAGCACAGTTGTGACCTTGGGGATTTGGGGGTCATATGAATAGGTGCTCTGAGGTGTGTGCCCCAATATTGCAGCTGCCAGCCTCCCAGCACACGCACAAGACGCCTGCTGTGGCATGAGAATTTTACTTGGAGCAGGTTTCATCAACTCTGAGGTGGCTAATGCTGGACAGTTATCACTCTGCTCCTTGTGAGAGACAGTTGTTTTCTCCTTGTCATCACACAGACCGTATTGCAGCTACATTGCAATTTCTCCCCAGTCAAAGCGCTTCTTGGCAG